TAACATATATTACAGCGATTTCCTTATTCTTAAACCTTCTTCTTTCTTAAGATAAGAGATTAGGAAAGTTCTTGAAGATCATTTCACTGTCTGGAATGGTTCTCTCTGTAGGTGAGGCAGACGTACTAATTTACATATGTACTTAATACAAAGCAATAACGTGCCATCTATAGATAATACTTTTTATTTTGCTTATCCCTAGTACACGTGTTACATACCATGATAATCATGGTGGGTAGAAGTAGGCGACTGCCTTTACTATAAGTGCATTACATGTCTACACAAATGAAATACAGTTCGACTTTGCTAAAAAGGTACAACTTCCTTAAGTTTTATCTATGAATGTATTGTCGGAATAATGTGACCAAAGATTTTTCAAAAATTATCTTTAAAAGACACCTCGGCATTAATAAAATATTTATTTTTTATCTTTAATTTTTTTTTTTTGCTTACCCCTAGTACACGTGGTACAGGCCATGATAATCATGGTGGGTATTTAGCGACTGCTTTTACTGTAAGTGCACCACATGTCTACACATGTGAAAAGCAGTTCGACTTTGCACTTACAAATATGCCAGAGCCACCTTTGGTTACTTGCACTTGCTGGTGGGGTTGGACTTTTGCAAGAATCGGGGGCCATTAAAGCATTTTTTTTTTTTTAAACAGAAAAAGTGCCCAATGCGGGAATCGAACTCGGGTCGTACAAGTCAAAACCCAACGGTTTAGACCATCCTTCCACCGACCCCCCCCCCCCCCCTTTAATTTGCTAAAATATATATATATATATATATATAATCTATTTAAAAAAAGAGGATTTGTGATTGAAAACAAAAGCGCTTAAGTCGTACTGCGTATATTGAAAATATGGAAGAAAGAAGATTAACATAAAATTTCGATATTTACTCCAAGTTCTGTAAAAAATTATTCAAAAAGAGTATTTCTTAGATTTATAGGCTGTTAGTATATATTGAAAAAAACTGATTTTATTTTGTATCAAATATTTTTTTCCAAGAAAAAGTTTTCTAAAGTGAAAATTTAATATTTTTTGTAATGGATTCCATGCTTAAAATAACTGGTCACTCAACATAAGCAAAAAGCTTTTATAGGTTTTTACTTCCATCTTTTAAAAAAAAATAAACACAACTAACATAACCAATGTCATTAAAATGCGCATTAAATTTATGGACATAAAACTTTTAAATTCGGATGTGGGAGGCCTCATAAATAATTCATTATAAATTTTATGGCATCGCCTTTTAGAAATGTGATATTTTTATTGAAGCGTGGAGGAGTAAGGGAAAAAATGGATCAAACTTTTTTTCCTCTTTTGAATCGATATTTTCTTTCTTTTAGCTAAACTTTTGATTTTCTTTTTTAAAAACGACTTTTTTCTTGGTTTTCCAAAAAACAAAAGGAATATATCTTAAATATCAAGCTATGTCTGTTTTTCTTATCTCTAAAGTTAGACATGCTTCGTATTCCCTATTGCTCTTTTTAAAGTCTTTTGTTTTTTAAACCCAAAAGAGATTTTTTTTATACCAGATTGTCCCTTGATACAGTCAAGAGTAACTTTTCAACATGCTGCTAGGGAAAACTTACATCAAAGTAGAATTTTGTTAATGGACTTTGAATGTTTTTCATTTTTATGTTTTTGGATTAAGTTATAAAAATAAAATAATGTTTTTCCACAGATTGAAAATTTTTTCCCGCCATTTTTTATTGAAATTGGCGCCAAAATATTGTTTTGATCAATTTGCCAAACGATTTGTATCTTTTAAATGTATTTATTATGTTTTTTTTATTTGAATATTATATGGAAGTGGGTTTATAAGAGTATTTGAAACTAATTAGAAAATCATAATAATTTATATGGATAATTTATATAAATTAGATTTATTTGAGACAAAATGAAAATGGATCATAGTTTTTAACATTGAAATATGTGAGAAATATATTATCTATTAAGTTATACAGTTAAACCTGTCTATAGCGCCCCCTTTAAATAGCGCCTCCCTCTCTATAACGCCCGATTTTAAATAGGTAGAAGGATGCGATTTACATTAAAAGTGACCTGTCTATAGCATCCTATTTTGGTGAGTCTCTAGAGGGGGCGCTATAGACAGGTTTAACTGTATATTGAAATTATTTAATAGACAATATAGGATTTTCAGCTTTAAAGGCATTTGAAGTGTAGCCATGATTTCGTTTTATATACCCATGTCCATTTAATGAACCTACTTTTACATCTTAATCAGTAATCACATACTAGACAGAAGAAGGTATTTGCTAAATAAACTATATTTCTACTAGTTATCTCTTTAATTTCTAATAGTTACTACATACACACACACACTCAACAATGAATGCACTTTGATCATGCAAGCAGTAAACATTCCTTATGCTCATAGACTTTTACGAACTCTTAAATACTTGTATTATCATTTAAAACTTGAATATTAGCTCTTTTTACGTGTATTTAATCTTGTTAGATCCCTAGAATCATGTAAACATGTAAACAAAGGCTGACCAACTTTGGACACATAATGAGAGCAAATAATTTAGAAAATATGTTGATGTTGTGGGAAAAATGAAGGAAAGAGAGGAAGATCTGCAATAAACTGGCTAGAAGAGGTCAAAAAAGCTACCAGAAGGTCACTAGATGAGCTGTGAGTGATAGTGACCAACAGATTAAATTGGAGAATATTTGTCCATATGGTCATCAAAAGTTGAACTCAATTTGATTAACATTAACAACAACAATATGCAAATATGTATGAAATCTTCAAATATCATTTATAAAACGCAAGTGAAAAATAAATAACGTCAAAATGATTGCTGAACCTGAAGGACATACTATGTGAGCACGCAATGATAATAAAAATGAAACGAACTACGCATGCGTCAGATTGCAGCCGAAAACAATAGTGAGATATTTGTAAACACATATACTATATAAATCTATTAAGACGCTATTATACAGTGATAAAGATAAAACTAAATATAATTAATTACAATCCTAACTTTTTAAAAGTCTATTATAGGAAAACAGATGGATATATTTTCAATCTTTTTTTTTTTACTCTAAAAATATTTTGAAAGAAAAAGAATTCGGGATGAGATATTTCTGGCCCAGAAATATTGATTTTTGTATTAGCTCCGATGGTTCTATTTCTTGAAGCTTTCATTTAGGACATGAGGTAGAGAACTCTGCCATTATATCAACTAGAACCCCAACAAAGTTATAAAACTTATACATACAAACAGAATCTATATTATTTATAGGTTATCAATCTTTTTAAATAATAATTCAATGCATTTTGGAATGAAATATTTTTGCTAAAGTTTTGAAAAGAAGATATTCTGGCATTAAGCAACAGCAACAACAGCTTTATTAGGACATTTCCGTCCTGTAAGGACTCGCCATACATCATTTTCATGGAGAAAAGGAAAAAAGAAACATAAACAAAGGAGAGAAGGGAAAATGAAAAGGAAATCAAATTATTCAACATAACTATACAAATTAACTATGGAAGGAAATTGTTCTGTAATTTTAGTTCTTAGAGATTACCTTGTTCTCTAACGCTTTATGAAAGTTAAACAATTCTATTGCTATATACTTTTTCTCGGGCATTATTCAGATTAGCTGAACTGGGTTCACGTAGACTTGGATAATGTTCTTAAAGATCTTATTCCGTTCCTCGTATTCTGGCATTAAGAACAGCAGAACCAGTTGACAAGGATGTTCCATGCTGAGGTTGAGTTTGGGAATCTGTATGTGGCCATGACAATTCACATAATTCTATTGACATATTGTCAATATATGCAAATATGTACAGTCCGCAATATTTTTATGGAATGATAGTGAGTAATTTACAATGATGATACTGATTAATTTAAAATAATTAGATACATGCTAAATACACACACAAGTCTTTGTTAATACATTCCGTCTGATATAGATACATGGTATATACAAGATTCTCCCAAAAGTTCGTAAACACTTGCAAAAAATTGAAATACCAATATTATTCGCCGTTATGTATAATGTCTTTGTATTATGTATAAAGTATTATGTATTATTATATATTCGCCGTAATAATATTATTCGTCAAGTAATAAGAAAAACAAGGTTTTAATAAAACACAAACTTTAGGGACAATTTTATAAAATATGCGAAAATATGTAAATATGGGAATTTTGTCAACACCTCTATATATACACTCATGGACAAAACAATTAGTGGTGGTGGTGTCTTGTCCAAAGACGCAGTAGCAAGGATCGATTATTTCTGATTCTGTTGCTCCATGGAAAGTGGGGTACCATTGCCCCGTTAGTCAGCCACATTTCAGAGTTCCCTGTTCGGGGCTCAATAAGACATTATGGCATTGGGAATAGTGAAAGAGATAAGATTTTCTCGAAAGCGCTTACATATGCTAGAGAATACTGTAAATAGTGTCACCAGAATATGGACTTACACATTTTATGGTCATATTAGGTATAGATATGTCTTTACGTAATGTATTAAATTACTACTTTTGTTGTTGTTGTTTATTCCCCAAGTCGTTTAAACGATCTCCATTAGGTCCCATTGTCTCAGTTTTCTATTATAGTATATAAACCCCACGAATAGGTATAACAATATTTGTTATAAGTTTTTCCACACAAACTGTTAAAATTCTCTTAGCTTCTTTTACAAAATTTGAATTAAAAGGACAAAAAAAGTTATTAAAATATCCCATGATGTCGAAGAAGGTTGCAAAACAAACAGATAAGACTACCATCTTTGTTATCTTTATATTCCATCTAAGATATCTGGAGGACATCCAAAACTTCCCTGCCATCAACACATTGTCGATTTTACCATTTTTTAAAACCACGATAAAATGTTGTCGAAGGTGTGAAGATGTTCCAGAATGTGGAGTTTGATTTATGGTTCATCATCCATAGAATTTGTTATTAGCCGCGGAGTTTACTTTATATAGAATCCCAACTCCCCGATAGCTTATATATCCGTGGTGTAGTGGTATGTACTATTGACTTTCAATGAAGGGGACCTGGGTTCAAATCCCGCAATAGAACTTTTACATTTTAAAATTATAAATCGCTTCAATATAGCATATCAATATATTCTCAGTTTGCCAAAGCTGGTGTTGTGGACTAGACGACACACCTACGAGGAGATGAAGAGGATGGCGGAGGAAGTATGGAGAGACCATGTGGCCCACCCTCAGTAGAGAAAAGCATTGAAGGAGAGAGATATGGTGAGACCATGTGGCTCACCCTCAGTAGAGGAAGACACTGAAGGAGGGAGATGGTGTCTGCCGGGGAAGAGTAGAGCTCATCAATGGATGAGTCAATACAGTCAATAATATGTCTTGGGGTTGCAGGTTGAGGATTACACTTAGTACTGTAAGAATACTGCCTATCACAAGTATACTATGCCCTTCAGCAGATACTATATTGAATCAAATGCATCTCTGACGAAGAAATTGAGAACTTTCATACCATTATTAGCCTTGCAAAACCATGGCGTTCCAAGGGTCCATTGTTGAATCAATACAATCGATCCAAAAATCAATTTAAGCTCCAACTTTATCGATTAAAACAAATATTTAATACGCTGATCAATAATTTATTCTTAAAATAAACACTCGGCTATTATTTAAAGTAGACTGGAAGAAAGCTATATCCAACTCACGATATTCCATTAAACAATCTGTTCTTATAGATTTGCTATGAGAATTTCTATATAAACAATACTATAAAAACTGATATAATTGTTTAAATTAATCGTAAAATATAATTTAAAAACATCTTATTCTTCTTTCTTATCTCCATTCAATCATATTTGGGTATCAAGCTTGTTTGACAACCATCATGACTGTGTGAAGTAGAATGCGTCTGCCTTTTTAATTAAGACTGGGAGCACTACTCAGTGGCAGGCTGACTTAGCTCAAAAAGAAATGGCTGCCTCTGATATGAGGAACAGATGCCATGTACAGCTTCTCCTAACATGGAGTACAGACGCTGCTCATCCTGTATCCCTGGATTAGGAGCCCTTACGAGGTACTATCAGCCGGGCCAGCTGAGTCCAGTTTTTTTAGTGAGCTTGTTACTGCTCCCCCTCCTCCTTTTTCATCCGGGCTTGGGACCGATTATAAAACATGGTTAAACAAATGACAATATAGAAACTCATAAAAATCGCGACATCATAAGGCGAAAGGTTTCTTACAGTTTTTTATTATTTTGCCGAGTTTTCAAGTATTACTGCCCTTCCACAGGAGAAAAATAGAAAATGTATAAGACGAATTGCTTATATGCATATCTGTATATTTACATATATTAGGGGATTTACATTCATATATAAAGAATAATGAACGACAGAAATATATAATTATATGAGTATATCTGTATATATAAAATCTCTCCCCTTCCACCAAACAAATTAGCCATTGCATTATAACAAAGAACAAAGAAAGGGTATTCAGGGGAACTCTAATCTAATTTTTAATCAATTAAAGCATGAATGTACGCAGGCATGATGCAAATATTTAAAGAATAAAATGTTAAAAATGCAGTAAATTACGATTTGAAAAGAATGTAATGATATTTGATACACAGTGACCTTTATTTAAGACACACGAGATAACCAAGTGTGGAAAAAATTGCTTCTGTCTCCTTAAAAAAAAAACAGACTTTCAGCAACATTAAATACTTTTTACTTCCTTAAGTTTTGTCCATGAGTGTCTTCTGTAGTTATTCCAAGACCAAAATACGAGGTATTGTACATGTGATACAGTTTTTATCTATGATTTTTTTATCCGTTTAGAGGCAATTTAGTATTTTGGTATGTCCACTTTCTCAATCTTGTAAAATATGTTATTATGTGTGTGACATCTATGTCCATATTTTACTTAAATACCATTTCTAAGATTCCACCCTTCAATGTTGCATATAAAAGTAGAATAATCCAATACAGTATTGGATCTCTAAAGAAGTGGTCTAATAGATTAAATTGGTGAAACTGCTGGGAGGGTTAACCACCGATGAGCCAAGTCTTCCCAATATTTTTTTTTATCGTAATAAGGACTGTAGAAGTTTGATTTATTTGTAAAAAGAAATATTCGCGTCTTAATGCCTTTATTCGTTATACTAATTAATATATTGGGTTGAATTCTTTGTATCGCAGATTTATCAACCCACTGAAGACGCTGAGAACTATTACAGAAAAGAAAAATATAGCAATAGAACTCTATAATTTCTACAGATCAATTGTAAATAGATTAATACACAAAAGAAGTAGTGAGGAAAGTTTTAGAACAGATGTGTAAATAAATCCCTTTTCAAACAAAGGCTCACGTGCACATGGGGAAAGGGAGAAAAAAATTACTGTAGTATTTTGGTTGTTGTATGGCGAATCCATACAGGGAAATGGGCCCTAATAAAAGCCTTGTTGTTGTATGGCGAATCCATACAGGGCAATGGGCCCTAATAAAAGCCTTTTTGTTGTTGTAAGGCGAATCCATACAGGGCAATAGGCCCTAATAAAAGCCTTTTTGTTGTTGTAAGGCGAATCCATACAGGGCAATGGGCCCTAATAAAAGCCTTTTGTTGTTGTATGGCGAATCCATACAGGGCAATGGGCCCTAATAAAAGCCTTTTGTTGTTGTATGGCGAATCCATACAGGGCAATGGGCCCTAATAAAAGCCTTTTGTTGTTGTATGGCGAATCCATACAGGGCAATGGGTCCTAATAAAAGCCTTTTTGTTGTTGTCGTTTATTGGTAACGCAAATATATAAAAAGAAACATATTTGAGTAGTTAGACATGTCAAAAGAAGTGATGTGTCAATAAGGGATTAAACACAGAGTAATCAAAGGAAGCAACAACTACGGGATTGGCGACACGGAAGTTTACATGATATCATACACACACATCCATTGAACGGTGAAGTTGAGACATCAAGGATTGAGTTACTCCTGTCTCTCTACTCGATATTTCCTTGTATAAATAACAGATCACATATATATCAATATGGTATAGCCATCTCTTTAACTTTACAATATAACGCAGGCTACGAAGATGAGTTTCCTATTTTTTATTACTTTTCAAGCTTTCAGATAGGGCCAATTCTTCTACAAGAGCAAATAAATGTAAATTTATGACACATATGTTCAGCGAGAAATCATATTTTGCGAACTACGAATGCCAGGCCAGGCAACCTCTATCTTCAAAATAATTTTATTTCTATATACTTTGTCATTTTCGAGCAGCAATAGATCTTAATATCTGCCTTTATATTTGGCTTAGATCTATCTTGCATTTGTTGAGTACTTTTTACTTGGTTGCTCTTTAAAATCATTATTTCACATATGTTCGGCGAGATCAATTCAAAAAGGCTCTTTCATATGATTCTTAATGAATTTGTTATTTTAAATATATATATATGTTATATTAAAATATTATTTTATTTAAAATTATATTTCATAGATTCAAATACTCTGCTAAATCGACCGCCAGAGGAGACGCTTCCCCTATAAAAATTCATTGTTGTTGTTTCCTGATCAAACCTTTTGTACATTATGTAAATAAGTTTTTCATTTTTTGATTCTCACGCCTTAAGCCAGGCAGTACTTTTATCAAATTATGTTTTTATATATTCTATAAGCTCAATTAAAGCTATTTTTGATCTTTCCTATTTTTATTATACTCTAAAAGATTTTAACCACGACTGCATTACCATAGCATAATCCTAGAGATAATCAAAAATCAACAGAAACGATATATATATCGAGTTTAATCTTCTTTATTCACATCAACGTGAGAAAAAAGACGCTAAAATAAATAGGAAATGTTCGATTAAAAAGAGATTTTTCGATTATACTTCTAAATACATTTTAGAAATCATCAAAAATTTCAATTATATCAATACCGTAAATAATTCGGTTTATAAAGCTAGTTTACATTCATATATTTAGGTTTATATCTATATATGCAATCTCTAAATTAATCATAACATTAATATAGCGTGTTATTGCTTTATATTCAATTTATGCCTAACTGGCCTTGTCCTTATTGTTTGCGGAAGAGAATTGCTCGATGCAAATATTTAATTTGATTCTATTGTCCTAAAAAGCTTATGTTCACATAGTTTGCTTGAAAACCATTTCTGAGATTCTACCCTTCAGTGTAGCATATATAAGTAGAATCGTTCAATACAGTATTAGAGCTCTAGAAAGCGGTCTGGTAGATTAAATTGGCAAAACCGAAGGTACACCATTGATGAGCCAACTCCTCCTAAAATTTTTTATCACAGTATGGATAGTAGTAGTTTGTTTTATATGTTAAATAAACTTTCATGCTCTAATGTATTCGTTTATTATACAGTTAAACCTGTCTATAGCTCCTCCCTCTCTATAGCGCCCGATTTTAAATACGTAATACAATGCGATTTACATTAAAAGTGACCCGTCTATAGCACCCCCTCTCTATATCACCCTATTTTTGTGAGTCCCAAGAGGGGGTGCTATAGACAGATTTAACTGTATATAGATATCGCGTTATTCCTTTATATTAATCAATATTTTCATCAAAAAAGCAACCTCCAGGAGAAGTATGATGGACAAATCCATCATGAAGAAGAAATAGAAGAAACCAATACATCAGATTTCTGAAGGTCATCTATAAGAGAACTTCACAACAAAAAGTAAAAAAGAATTAAAAAAAAGACCAACATACAATAACTTTGCGTGCCAGAAACTACATAACTTGAAACCTGTCATGTGGAAAGTTTATTGAAAAGAGAAGAATTGTCAAAAATTCGTATCTTTTCTTGTTAAAACCTTTTTTTTTTTTAGGATTTTATTTAGCAACTTTTTGATGTTTGTCCAAGAATATTTGTTTTTTTTTTACATAAGTGTTGAATAAACATCTCGAATTAGCATAGCTAAACAGTTTTTGACCTTATTGATGTTGACATTCGTTAGAAATCTACTCCAATGATGGATGACTCCACGTCCTTCTTTATTGATCCTGGCGTGAACCCAAGGTCCTTTTGTCTGTTCCCATTCGAATCCTTTC